AAGAAATAGTGATTTAAAAATAGGAATTGAGGATGTATATGTAGACAGAGTTAATGAAATCAAGTGCCACAAGATCGGCTGGAAAAATCCTATTCAGTATGTGCAAGCTAAAATATCAAGAAGTGTCTCAGTCCTCAGTGAAGCTAGATATTTTTTTAAATAATAAAGCATTGCGTATTGTATATTGTTCACTTATTTTGCCATATTTCAATTGTGTGGAAGTCTGGGGAAACACCTACAAATCCTCGCTCAGACTGTTGTGCACTCTCCAGAAAAGAGCCATCAGAATGGTTCATAAGGTAGGCTGAGTTATTTACCAATACCTGCTTGAATTTAAAATAGCTCAAGTGATTTATAAAGCTAGGAACAAACAACTACCAGATAATATACAGAAAACTTTTATGGATAGAGTGGGGGGTTATGATGTCAGGGAAATCTTTAATTTCAGAACCAGGAGTGTTCAARCAACTATGAAAAGAATGTGCACCTCAGTCATTGGTGTAAGTGTCTGGAATAAATTCAGTCAAGAACTGAAGCAATGTCCAAACATGAATTTGTTAAAACAAAAGGCTCAGACTAATGGTTTTTGACAAGAATAGGAATGATAATTTGAGGTAAACTTAAAATGTGTGTCTCAATGCTGTATATGGGGTTGTATATATGAGTATGACTGTGTAATCCATATGGGGTTATGTATGTGGATTAATTATGTTACATTGGAGTGGTGGTTGGATCTCCTTTATATGTATRTATTTTTGTTTGTTTTGTTTTCATCACAAACTGATGACTGAAAACCAGATGAAGTGGTGAATAGRGGTAGGATTAAATACGTTTTACTTCTTCCTACCCCTTTTCAAACATGTTAATGGGATTTGTGTGCTTCATGTGAGTGTATGTACTTGGGTAGGTGTACACAGATAGGTGTGTGCACATCGGGTGTATAAGTATTTTATGGGTTTATTTGTGTATAATTAGTATGAATGGTTTCATTTTTTTGTAGATATGTGAAAGGGTATATTGAGATATACCGATTCATAYTATGCTTTATGTAATGAATTTGACATGTCTGGAATAAATCATAAATCAAATCAAATATCTGTTTCCAAATGCCTTGAAATTGGCYGTGAAGCAGAAGCTCGGTGTAGTTTACTTGGCATCTGAAAATCCATTTCCTCAAAGGTATTTTTAATCTTAAAAKAACTGGMCTGAGAAGTAGTWTTARGAGCTCAGCAGACGTGGTTTCACCGGGTGTTTGCCTTGTTGCTGCTGATAGCCTGCAGGAGTCATGAGTGCRCCGGGGGTTGGGGGAGGCRTGTTCTGTGATGAGGAAGCTTGGTTTGGAGACAACCCAGAGGATGWTCTGGTCCCAAAAGGTGGTTTTAGGCCCAACTGGCCRTTTTTGCTCTCYTGCATGGCTGCCTCAGGCCAGCACAGGATTTCTCAAACATGCATGGRTGAGTCAAAGCAAGACTCTGGGCATGTTTTAGATGAGAAGGTTAGGGCTGCACAATGTATCCAAAATTTATCGTCATCGCGATAAACTATGCGATGGACCTATCACAACAAAAAGAAACAAACTGTGATAAAAGGATGGCTTAAGGTTTGTTTCTAAGCTATGTTCTGTCAATCACACAGAAGCCAGAAGTATTTGACCAAWCAAATGAAGCCCTTCATGTATTTGGCCAATTGGAGAAATCCCTTTACATTAGATACCCGCCCCCTACATAGACGCGGGTGGATAGAAAACACTTGAGCAACAAGCTAGAGAGAGTCGCAATGGCGAAGGGCAAGACAAGTGAGGAAAATGTTAACGATGAAGAACTCGTGGTTAAAAAAATATATATACATCTCTTAATTGGAACTATTTTGGTTTTGAGAGAGACGTTCTAATGCAGGTACTTTGCAAGACATGCCGAACAATAGTGGCAACGACGAGAGGAAACAACAAATCTGCATTGTCACCTTCAATACAWCCACAAAGATCTGTATGAAGAGTTCAAAAAAGCTAACACAAAACAAAAGCTCAGGGGTCAGATTTATAAAGGATTGCGTGGAAACCATACTAAAAGTGAACGTACGGCCAAAAGGTGAAAATAGTATACACCAAAACAACTATAAAAGCGTGTGTACGCATGTTTCTGCAAATCTTTCCTATTTAGATCACATCTGTAAAATAAATTATAAATAATCATTTTAAAATCTGTTGAGATGCATGAGCAGATAACAGCATGGAAAATAAATGGGACACATGAAGTAAATTATTATTACTATTAGTAGTGGTATTAGTTGTTGTTATTGTTGTTGTTATGGTGTTGGTAGTGGGAGTGGTAAAATAAAATAAAAAGGTGATACTTTATATAACAAAAACAGAAAAATGTGTGCATACAGGAAAAAAAATCAGCAGGGCCATGAATGGTCACATGACTTGCCATGGGCCCTGCCTATTGGCTGGATCTTGCACGTGACACCAAAAGGCGGAAGTCAATTGTAAACTATTAAAACAAAAAATGGCAGCTTACAGGTACAGCCACTTAGCTTGGCTGGCTTTTGTTTTCAGTTTGTCAGTGATTTTAGCCACAGACGCTCAAGAAACGACCTACTCCAGTGACAACCTCGTCAGTGCRGTCGAAAATCTACAAGCCGACGCCGAAACCGAGAAGCGAACGGTTGGAGAACCCGCGGTGGAGGAGAGGCGATGGGAAGCGACTCGGGTGGAAGATGCTACCGCCGACAAACAAGCGTTTCCTGCTTCTGACGCTACAATGTTCACTTCAACACCACAGTTTCAGGATGATTTTCAGGAGGAGCTAGTAATCAGACCGTTGCACTCAGGGGATATTTATGCCAGCTTCCAGTTCCGAACATTGTGGCAAACTGATTTTATGAGAGGAAACAAAGGTATGCTAATTTTTCTCTACCTATGAATCAAAACTTTACAGATGAGGGGAGCTGGTAGTTGTAATAGAAGTAGTTAAATTTGTAACTAATTTTAGCCTAAAATATATTGCTTGCAATTATGATTAACGTAGCTCATTTTGACATATACAGTGGGGAGAAGTATTTAATACACTGTTGATTTTTCAGGTTTTCCCACTAGCAAAGCATGTAGAAGACTGTAATTTTTATCATAGGTACTCTTCAACTGTAAGTGATGGAATCTAAAAGACACCTGTCCACACACTCAGTCAATCAGACTCCAGCATCTCCACAATGCCCAAGACCAGAGAGCTGCTTA